AAAAAAAAAAGGAATTCATGACAAGGCAGGTCGTAAAAAAAAGTAAAAACAAATGTCAAAGCTGAGGCCGTATGGAACAGGGGTAAGAGGACAGCTTTCTTATCTGCCCCAGAGCTGAAATCTCCACTATTGGTTGATCATAGCGGGTGAACAATCCCAGAATCCCCTGGGTGGGGGGCGAGGAACCAGGAACGCTGGGGCACGTGGGACATCGGCATGCCAACCCATGGGCTCTGCCAGGTTTCGAGCACGAGCGCTCACCTTCCTCCACACGCCCTCTGGGAGCGACACGGGTCACCACCACCTCCCCAGCACACCTCTTCTGCACCAGGTCATAGATTCCAGTCCCACCCGGCAGCGAGACGAAGTTAAGATTCCACTTTGGCGTCGCTGGTAAATCTGACGACCGAATTACACTATCCTCTTGCAAAATCTTTTCATGCAACAACATCCTCAAGATTACACAAAACAGCACACTGTGTGACTGCTACAACATTCCTAGATAATAAATCCCTTTTACCTGTGCCTCCCATTCCAGGGAAGAGGAGATAACTACCTTAAGATCCTATCACACGTAAAAAACCTGGGATTTTGATTCTTTCACTGTCGGCCGATAGCAGCGACACACCAGAACACCGCATGACACTTATCTGTGCCACGTTTGCATCCCACATTTCTGTTGCTTGTTGTTTCTGTTGAGGAGAAAAAAACAAACTTCCAGGGCAACTATTATCCATCCTCTGCTTCCCATGGATGCTTTCGCTTGTGATAAAAGAGAAAACAAAGCATACCCCGAGGAAAATCGGCATTCCAGACTCTCAGCGAGGCTCGCTCTCTGATTCGCTGCGTTTCCCCGATGACTCGAGTTTCCCCGGCTCTCAGCAGTTACGGCTTATCATCTTATCTTCCCAGAACTCCACAAAACACTTCCTTCATGTGGATCCACAGCAACCCCCCAGGACGTGTTAATTTAAACTGACCTCACTGGCTCGAAAAGTCCGCAGCCTTATCTCTGCCCAATTTCCCAACGGCAGAAACTCCTCCGCCCAGCCACCCCGGACTCTCTGTAACAGGAACACCAGCTCCTCGAGCAAAGAAGTGCACAAAATTCTGCGAAAAACCCCACTTCTCTCAAACGGTTATACAGTGCCTGTTACAGGCAAGGGCCTCTCTTTGAAAGACCCCCCCAGCCTCCCCCAGTTTAAACTCTGAACCTTACGGATGACTAAGAGGTCGCCTCGTGTCGCCCCTATTGGCACGTGCCTAGATCTTTCAGATCACGCTCTTTTGCAATCAGAGCAAGTCGAGCGCACTAAATACATTAAGAACCTAAGCTTTTTATTATGTCTCACACCCATGGTGTTTCTCAAAGGCAGAGGCGATGTTAGCCACTCCTGCTCCAAGGAAACGAAAGCCCGTCCTCCTTTTACTGGTTAGCATGGCTTAGATTTCGCACTGCGCAGCATAAACCTTATGCATCTGCATTGCTATAATGAGTAAGTGAGGGAAATGGCACAAACCCACATACTGTACAACCCAAGACAATGTCCTATAAGAAATATCGAAAGCTTGGTGTCTTTCTGCAAACTTAAGAGTCTTCTGACGGGTTTTTTGGACACTGACAGCGGCCGCGAACCTATGATTTTCCCATTTTTAATTCCACGGGCTGTGCTGGTTTTGTCTTAGGTAGGAAAAAGAGCCTGCAACCCCCCCTGTTCCTCCGGGTTTGTACGTGCGCGCCACGCCAGTTCAAACTGAAATCAAAACTGAAACAAAGAAAACGACTGGCCTCTTGCGGTCTTGCTCTGCTCCGCGGGTCGCTGGGTTTGCTTTGACACCGCTGCATGACTGAGACACTCCAGGAACTTAAAAAGGTGAGAGAGGGAGAGAGGGAGGCGGAGGCGGAGGCAGAAAGGCATTTGTGAAAATGCACACCGTGCCTGAGAATGGAAAAAAAAAAAGGGCCAGTTTCCAGGATCCTGAATCACTTGGTAATTATTTTTAACACAGATCTCCAAAACACCGCCTGGCAGAGGATTGTTTTCCTGCTTCATTCAGCAGAAACTTTTAGTGTTTTTCCATTTTTTTTATTTTTTACAGCCACTGGAAAGACAGTCACTTTGCCCTGAGCATGAGACTGACAGCTCATAAAACATTTAAAGCTAACCCCAGCTTCAAGGAACTAGACTCACCCTGCCCGAAGTATATCACAGCTGAAGACGTAAAACTGTATGAGCAAAAACACTGGCCATTTCCCATCAACCCCTTCATAACAACCTCAAACAAATAGTTCTGTCCCTAAAACTGCAGTTCTATTTTCACTGTTTCACCAGTTAGGTTCTTAGTGACATTAACAGAACTGATTTTCTTTATAATGCAAAATAGCATTTAAACATCTAGGCACTCATCTAGGAACAACACCAGTGACCAATAACAGATTACGTACCTACCAGAGTCTACCCTGTGAATGTTGAAGTTATTTGTGAAATAAAGGATTGCTCTCAGGCAGACGGGGCTCAGCTCTGCTTAGCCCGGATCACTGGAACTGGGAGGAACCCACCACACCAGACAAGCCCACTCTATACCAGAGTCTCCCATTCTGTCCCACTGACCAAAGCTCTCCCTTGCAGCTGTCCCAAGGAATGGCTTGACAGCTAACCCATACATCCTGTTATTCATCCATCCATTTACTAATCACTTTATCCAATGTAAGGTTGCAGGGCAGCCAGAGCCTAGCGGGTTTCAGTGCTTCATCCCGGCAAGCAGGGGGTAAATTCTGGATGGGACACCAGACCAACACTCGTATCAGGGCCGGTTTTACCCAGAAGCCCTTTAACCTACCACTATGTCTCTGAGCTGTGGAAGAACACCTGTGAGAATGTGGGGAGAACATGCAAACTCCACACAGACAGCAAAGCCCACCACTTGTGCCATCATACATCTTTATCCTTCATCTCCTATCAGCCAGCTTTTAACTCCTTAACCCAACTACTCTTGTTATTCTCACATGTGTTTCTCTTGTTGGCTGCTGTTTAGAACATGACTATAAAGCTCTTGTTTCCAACGCACCAGTGAACAGTGAATGAGGGCAAGTTACAACAACTACAGTCGTCACTTCTGGGGACTTGGGGTGGGTTGAAACGTTTTAGATGTGAGCACAAAGGTCCTTAGGCAGGAAGCCCTCTTCACAGTGCAGTGCTACGGTGCACGCAGGGCTTGCAGACTGGGGTCCGAAGAGAACCATCGCAGCCCCCTCTCCCTGCACACGCCGAGCGACCCGTCCTGCCGACCGCGATCGCTTTCCAAACTGCGTGCCGGCATCCTTGTAAAACTCAGCCGCTCCTGGCTCTCAGCCCTTCGCCATCCCATGATTACAGCTTTTAGAAATCTGCCGACGCCACCTATAGTTTATAAAACCACTTTCTTTTTCTCTTTTTCTTCCCCTCCCCTCTCTCTCTCTCTCTCAAGAGGTTTTCCTGGCACTGCCACAAAAGACTTGAGGTCACTGAATCGACACCGGAGCTCTAAACTGTTAACGCCCATGCCTGAAAAGAGTGTGAGCTACTGATTAAGATCAGCAGCTGAAGCAGAAAGAGCATAACGCTATTTGTAGAAATTTTAGTGAAAATAATATAATAGGACTATGCCACTTAAAGGTTCAGAACCTAGGGACAAATTTCACAGGCTACAGCCAAGTGTTTAAGCTAATCACATGGCTTTTCTTTAAGGGCCTTTAAAGACTGAAGCTAACCCCTGTAGCAAAAACAGTCACCTAAATGTTACATTAGCATTAGGTCATCTTCCAAACTAATAGGCAAACTTGAGAAGCTTCATAATTTTCCAATGCATGGTACAGCAAGCCTGCAGATCCCTTCCAAAAGGCACCACACTGGCATCTTGTGGGCAAAGACAGTACTGCACTTTGTATGCTGGATCCCAGAGTTCACCACACATCAGCTAGTGTCCTGAAATTGGTCTGGAACAGATGCCAACTGCTGTGCAGGCTAGTATGCTCCCACGAATGTGTAATTTGCCCCTCTGCTCACAAGTGCAGGCACTGATGAGGGTGACTGAACAGGTGGATAAGACACGCAAAGTTTCACTCATAATTGCGTCCATGCAAAGCAACATGAGTAAAATCTACAAACGTTTGCCTGGTTAGTACTTGTACAGTCTCTTTCAAAGAAAAGAACAAACCCGAACTATTACAGCTCTATAAGTTCAGTTAGCATCAAGCAAGGAATTCACAGCATGGACAGTAAACCTACATTTTAAAGCACTGTTACAGTTCTCTACAGTGAGGGGTGGTTTGTATTGAAGACTAAGAGGGGAGAAAAAAATACACCAGTAGATTATTCCAAATAAATTTATTGGTATTAACCTTATGCACTGTACAAAGCAAAGTTGTTTGACATGACCGGGCAGGATATCAGGACTGAGATGGGTTGTTAAGTCCACTTTTACATCAATACAACAGAGTTCCTAAAACAAAGAAATACAACCACAGATCAGTGAACTGTTAACCAGATTTTATAACGTGTTTCAATCACTCAAGGAGCTCGAAGTATCATGCAATTTTGACAGAATAATACTGTAAGAAGTATTCTGTAAACTAGTCTATTGGACGGTGCGGTGTCTCTGTGGCTCAGGATCTGCGCCTGTGGCTGGAAGGTTGCCGGTTCAAATCCCGCGGCCGGCAGAGGAATTCTACTCCGTTGGGCCCCTGAGCAAGGCCCTTAACCCCAACTGCTCCAGGGGCACTGTACAATAGTTGACCCTGCGCTCTGACCCCCAGCTTCTCTCCCCGTCTGTGTGTCTCATGGAGAGCAAGCTGGGGTATGCAAAAAGACAAATTCCTAATGCAAGAAATTATATAGGGCCAATAAAGTGATCTGATTTTGTAAATGAGCCCATGCTAACAGAAGGAAAATCTTTGAGTTGGGGGGGGGAACGACAAAAAAACCTACAGACCGCTCATTCGGGCAACAAAAAACACTTAAGTGGGTTACACAGGCGGGCTCTTTGCCCGAGAACTTTGACGTCTTGAAAGATTCAGAGTGGACTAAAAAAAACGAGCGATGCTTCGGCATCGTCGTGCTTTAAAAAAATTACCCACAAGCCATCGGCCCATGGCTGCCCTGGCCCCTGTCACTGTAATGGCAGCGGGTTGTTCTCCCAGGGACGCAGAACCGTGACATACGTTACCCCGTGACCGGCAGCTACTCCAGGGCCTTCACGATGGCCTCGTTGGCCTCTATGGTGATCTGGATCTCCGCCCGCGCCGCCTCGTCAGAGGTGCCCAGCAGCTCGGACTGCGCCTTCTCCAGGTTGGCCTTGGCAGCCTGAGACAGCGAGAGAGAGAGAGCGACATAAAGACGGATTCCAGTAGGAATGCCTTTAAGGGCAGGTGTCGGTCCGTGCTCCGTCATTCCTGCTCCAGTTACCCAGCGATTCCTTCAGAGACAAGAAGCCCGGCCCCGCCGAGCTCGACTGGCGTGGGTCATACAAACAAAGCTCTTGGATGCGAGTTTGTGGGAGAGAGAGGGAGGGCGGGCAGGTGGTGGCGGAGGGAGAGTGGCAGGGGGTTGCAGCCAATCCGGACACGTGCTGCTCCTCGAGCAGTGGCTGGAGCAGCTGGATCTTGGGGCTCCAGCGAGAAGGAAAGGACCTGGTGTGGAGGCGAGCTGGTTCCCTTAAATCTGATGGGGCTGCAACCAGGACACCGGTGCAGAGAAACAAAGGCACCAATCTTTGAAGAACACCTGTGGGGGAGTTTGGGGGACACCTGAGCTGCAGTATTCGGACAGTGAAGACTGCATGCACCATAAGAAAGATCGGCTTATGAGTGTAGGTTCTGGGTCATTTGAAAAAGCTCCGGATTCCGGCTGTCGTTTTCATCTAGGACACAATGACAGTGGTCTACAACACCAGACTGCCGCCAGGAATGCTGTGATTGTGCCACGTGATGTAGGACGTAACAAACACAAAAATGACAAAGGATTAACGCAAAATTCTTTTGCTATTGTCTTTTTAATGTTAGCATATGGGATGCAAAGGGCATTGGAAAATGTAGGCTGAAAGTGATTGGGAAAACAGATGTGGAAATGGGGGCCTTCTGTGTGGAGTTTGCATGCTCAGTTCCATGTCTGCGTGGGATTTCACAAGGTGCTCTGGTTTCCCCACCCTCCTGAAACAGCGCTGGATGGGTTAACTGGCATCTTTAAATTGTCCCTGTGCGCCTGAATACGCATGCCCTGTGATGGACTGGCATCCCTGAGTGCCAAGGATTGCCGCCGGAATGCCTTGACTATTAAACCCGGAATAAGAGGCTTTGCTAACAGGTAGATGAGTGGAAAAAAGCCCAGAGGCTCTCTCAGATCTCTGAAATCTAAGCAAGACCACAAAAAGCTCCCATCTAAGAGATCTATTATCTGCAGTGCAGATAATGGGAGTAGAAATGCCAGGAGTTACTGGGAATGAAAGGTCTTCCATCAGGGGATTTAATGCTTCTGCTGTTCATCCACAGGGAATGACCTTTAATTCCTTATTAATTGCTTGGGCTCTAGAGTACGGTAACCAGAAACATAAGACGCCATCTTTTAAATATACAAAGGGTATGACAACAGTGACACAATGTTTGCATTTCTGAGGGCGTGTTGTGCAGCGATACTCCTATAAGACAGGATTGCCAAGCATCCAATGGACAGAGAGAAAAGGAAGCTCAAAACGCTCCCATAACTTTCCTTAGTTCAAATTTCATATTGAAATCACAGTATTCTGTCACTGACTTTCCCCTAAAAACAGGTTAAATGTTCAGAACTGGTAATGATCAGACTCGGGGTTCTGCCCTTATCCATTGGCTACTTTCACACAACCCTCTATGTCCCTTGATAAAACACCAGAGGAAACTATGTGGCATCACTTCACATGATGGCAGGTTGAGCTCTGTAACAATTATTTTCATACATGATCCAGTACAGATGTCATTGCTGCCACCATAAAAGACTTTCTGTGAATTTTCTGAAACGGCATTGCGGGGCATGAACATTTATTAACTTTGTAAGCATTTCTCTGCTGTTACAGGCTGTTTTCTTAACTTATGTGGATGTATTTCCTATTTTTTTTTAGAAATGTTTCCCGCTTGGAGCTCTTTCTGCGTTCCTCTAAAGGTGCAAAAGAAAATAGTTTAACGGACTGATACTGTCGCATTCTGCATGTACCCGAGTGTGACAGCTGGATTAAACTCTGAAATTAGTTAGCTCAGGCAAGGGAGATCGGCTAATCACTTGACTACAGGATGATCCACAGTCTACACCTTTTCTCATGCTTGAATTTGTATTCCTGTGTCTCAGCTGCTAATAGAATTTGCCCATGTACTGCTCCTGAGGGACACTCAAATTAGTTTCACCCTAAAATGCTACAGCTACTCATGAAATTGGCAATCCCTGAATTTATCAACATATTATTTGGTAGTGTGCCTTTAGGATGAGGTTTCGGGGGAATCAAGGCAAACGCAGTAGTCACAAAGCTGTTCCCAGCTTGAATTAGATTTATACGTGATGAGAGGCTTCAGAAGCTCATAGCATCTGATCAGAAACGGCTTTAGTAAAAGGGGCTCAACCCAGGCAGAGATACGATCAATACTTACAGCTAGATCCAGACTGTCGAGAGGAACGGCTTCTTCGGCCAGCAACTGCACAGAGGAGTCTGCGTTCACAGTGACTGACCCACTGCTCACTGTCGGACAAACACACCATATCAGAGAAACCCGGAGCTCCACCCGAGAGGCCAGCAGCACTGAAATCCCGTGCAGGGCATCTTACAGCTTACCCTGCACTCAGAGAATAAGCCGCCCTTGTGCCTTGGTAGGAGCTAAAGACTCAATACAAACCTGAGCACAGGAGCAGATCATTTCTAATTCCTACATCTTTTTTGGAAATCTGTCTCTGTACGAAATTCCCCCAAATTTATTCCTGCCAGACGTAACTGCCACTAAAAATATGCAGTAAAACAATCATTTTCACTTCTTTTCTGTTATGAATTTAGTTATTGGGGATTAATACCGTTGAAAGTCCTTGGCTGCCTGTGCATTATTACAGGTTAATAAAAATAATGATCCAGGGGTATAGAATCATTGTGCCCTCATCCATAATGTCTGCTGGGAAAGCATCTCGAACAAGCAGCAGGGGAAAAAAAAGGTAGAAACACAACTCTGGTGCGCACTTGTGCTTACACGTGTGGGCACATATACGCATGGAGCAAAGACGTGAATATGCACATTCAAGTGTGCAATCACACCTGTTTACGTGAACTCTGGAGGGAAAGAGCCTGGACTCCCGACTAAATCGGTCATAAAACACAACCACACGAAATAAGACGACGTTTACTGACGGCCCGCATTCCTGATAGATAACCCAGGTCAATTAGGGTGCACCGGAATGAGGATCCCGATCCAGCGGGATTTGCGGCTCCAGCAAACCAACGACAAGAAAACCCCCGGGAGAACCCCAGGGGCCCGGGAGCAGCCTCTCCTCACCGAAGTACTTGGCGGGGGCCCCCTCCTCGCTGAAGACCGTGACCACCCCGGGCCGCAGGACCTGCAGCGTGGGGACGTGCGCGGGGAGGATGCCGAAGGCGCCCGTCAGCGTCGGGACGTCGACCTGCTTCACGCTGGCTTCTCTGAAGAACACCTGGGGGGGGGGGAGGCGTCACTGGACTGAGACTGTGCTGCCCCCCCGCGGTGATGAAGGGCACACGAGGGGGCACCGTGGAGGGCATTTAAAACTGAGATCAGGAGGCAATTCTTTACCCATAAACAATGGGTATTTACCCATATAATCATGCTCTTTGAATACAGATTTTCAAGGGGGGGCAGGCAGGCAGGCAGATGGGGGGGTGGGTGGGGGTCCTGACACTTGCCAGCAGTGGCACTGCCAGCCAGCCAGAACAGACGGATCTTGGGGCCCCAGTGGGAACACGGGGGCTCACGGAGGTGTGGAGGTGAGCTGGTACCCTTGAACTAGAGCACCCACCGGGCCTTCAGCCTGACGGGGCTGCGATCAGGAGCCAGCGCAGAGGAACGAGAGAATCCATCAGAGGTCCTTCTGGGCTGCCCAAGGTCCCAGATTATTTGCTTATCCGGGATGATCGAGACACAAAGTTGACATGATGTGGCAACAGCATATTGTAAGAGTAAACTGTGAGCCACATGTTGGTCCTGTGTTAATCAGACAGCTTGCTGAGTGCTAGCAGAAGACCAGTGAAAAAAGGGTTTGCCCACTGCGCTCAGGAGTGACCTGGTCCTCTTGGAATCCCTGCAGGCCAACACCACGGCCTTAAACCTGACGAGGCTGCAGCCACAAGCCGACAGCGTCCGGGCCAAATTTCCCCCTGGCCTTTACCCATCATGGCCTCCTAATAATCCCCATCTCTGAACTGGCTCCATCACTCTGCTCTCCTCCCCACTGAGAGCTGGTGTGTAGGGAGCGGACTGGAGCATCATCCAGGTGGGGGTACACATTGGTGGTGGTGGAGGGGATCCCCATGACCTGTACAGCGCTTTGAGTGGAGTGTCCAGAAAAGCGCTATATAAGTGTATTATTATGATGACACGCTCGTGAATTTCAAATCGCTACAATAAATGAATTAGTATTGAAGAGAAACGAGGACTTGTTGGAGCTGCTAAGGGTCAATGATTATTTACCGGATGACCTTATCCAGAGCGACTGAGACACTCAGTCTACATGGCATGATAAGAACATATTTTATGGGTAAACTGAGCTTCGTGTGCCCGTGCAGCATCCAGTCCCGTCAGGAACTTCAACAGTTATTAAACCCAAAAGTGAATACACGACTTACGGCCCAGAAACCGACGTCCTAAAAATATCTGTGGAATCTGGGCCCATTCTCATGGAAGGTAAGATAGACAAGACCCGAGTCTTCGAGGTAACTAATGACCCTCCGGCCACTGGTGTTAATACACCCGAGAGAACATGCTAACGTTCAAGTTCATTCTCACACAAAACCTTAGCTCTGAGCCCCCTGGTCGCATGTCAGCGGACTCTTAACGCCGGCATGGCCGACAAACCCCTTTCCCATCACTGCTGCGATGAACCTCACGTTTTTAGATCTAAATTCAGAGGCGCGGCCTGCTCCCTCCCCCTCATCCCCGGGTTTTCCTTACCTCGTTTGGGGAGGCAAAAGTGAAGGACATCTGCGGCGCTGCGGATGGCGCCTCGGCGTAACAGCGAGCATGGCGCAAAGCAGGGAGGGAGCGGCGGAGGAAAAACCGAGCGGCAAACATGACGTTGGAAATAAGTCTAATTTCAGGTGGACGGGAACTTAAAACAGACCGGGGACAAATCGCTTTGACAGGAGCTGCACAAGCCCTTCAGTCAAGTCAGTCGGCCAGAGTGCCGGATAGGACAAGGACACGGGCAAGCTTCCCAGAAATCCTGCGCCACAGTAACAAAGTCTCACGGGAAATGTAGTTCCACCAGGCCTTACTACAGCATTGTGGGAAGTGTAGTTAATCATCGACTGTATGCCTTTCGCAAATACAGTACAGGTCTTTTCTTGAACAATCTATGTTGCCTTATATAAAATACGTAAATAAAGCCAGCTCTGCGAATAAGGGTCAACTACAAAAATAGGGAAAATAATAATGAAAAAGTGGGTAAATGATTCACTTCACATAAGAAGACACATTTCTAGAAAAAAAATGCAATTTTTAAAATAAACTCCAATAAACTCCAATAACTTCACTACCCAGTAAAAACAAATTAAAAAAAAAACGAGAATGTGGTTTTTAAGACTAAACCAGCCAGAAGGTGGCGCAACGTGAATATCAAATAGATGCAATGAATAATCCAACATTTGTAATCGGTAACAGCTATGATAATACATTACAATGCAATAATTGCAAGGAATATTCACTACAAATTACAAAGAGAACTGAATTTCTAACACCTGTAGATCCATTCAACGTATCGAGATTTTTAATTTAAATATGTTTGCTGGTGACAATACAGGTGTTCTTCCATATTTAGCGCTGTGGAAAATCGAATCGATCGTCACGTAGGAAGAGGGTTCCGCCTGTGTCGCCCGAGCAATCACCTGTGTGTCGCCCCCCACACACACACACACAATCCCGTCTCCCGAATCCCAGTTTTCACGCTCCGTCAGCGAAGACACGCGGAGGTGTCAGAACGGAATCGCTGAGTGGGCGCCATGACGTCAAAGGGGTGGCGACGAAGACTCGGGCTCGATTATAGACCCTACAATTTAATTTTTTTTTCTCTGTAAAACAGTTTTTTTTTTGTTGTTGCTGTTGTTGTTGGCCACACTGACACCAGCTCTTTCTACCTTCCTGATCTCCAAAAAGGAAAGCACGCACACGCTTCCAGCGAAAGTACGTTAGCCGGGCGATAAAATCAGAATCTTCTGTTATGTCTTGCAGATGAATATATTGTAACGCATACGGCCATCAGGGTGTGTAAGAGCCGGCTTACCAGAGCGGGGACGTCACCGCCCTTCCCTGTTATAGCAAGACCACAGCCCCTGGGCTGTGGAGAGATCTGTCTTTAGCTCTGGGTCCCTGTTGAGTGACGCGGGAGTCCCGGGTTCGAGTCCCCGTCGGTGCGAGGCCGACCTAATGCGGCAAAGGCGCCCGCCTGAGCCCCCGTTGCGTTACTATATACTGTATATAGGACTAACGCTGCACACTTCACCCATCGAGCTGACAGATGATCGTGGGGGAAATTTACGCCAGCCCACGCCGTAATCAGCCCTGTTCGTGAACATTATTGATCGGTATAATCAATTAATCCACGTCGTTGTCTCTTCAATAGAATGCCAGCGCAGCTGCTCCACAAATATTAGGATTTCCCTGACCATAGGTTTATGACTTTGTCGCGGTTTATACTGATCAGTTTCTGTCAGCACGGCAGACAGAAGTTTGTTTAAGTATGATTCAACCTCCTTATCACTTATTACTATACATCTATTCCTGTCATCCTTGCTCCGCGCGATATTCCACTGTTCTCTCTCTCTGACTCACCAGAGAAATTACAGAATTTGGCAATAAAAGTCTACTACAGAATTCTGTTGTTCGCTTAAGTGAACAATCACTACAGTTCCAGGCACATCTCCCACGATACTTTTTTATGTCCGTTAGCTACCATTTAAGCCATAAACCAGGCTCCTACTGTATACACTTCCAGAGATACTACAACATGTTTGAGGGGACATCATACCAGGCGGAAGCTGACTTCTTTCCCAGCGGGGATAAAACGACAGATCTTCCTGCGGGGGGCGATTGCTAAGGCAGTGAGTAGTAGCCCAGTGACCACGGTCAGGGCTATCTCCAAAATAACGTTTCCGTTAACATTTCCGCTTTTATTTAAAAAAAAAAAGATCACAACATATCTCGACGGTGTTTGTCCACGTCAGTCTTCTTAAAGTGTTTTAATTCACATTTAAACACGCATGCAAGAGAGGTGAAATACACCGGTAAAGTAAAAATACATGCCACTTTGACTTAAATCTACTTTTATGTGTTGTTTGCGGTGCGAAAAGCGAATCTCTATGCGCGTGTATAGAACATTAGTTCCTAGCTCGTGTCCGTTGTCTTTTTTTTTTTTTTGCGTGTGTAATTGAACGGGTCTGTGATTAATATGGTTCTACAGTGATCCGCGTAGTAGCAGATGTACTGGCGCATGGACGAGACTCCGACGAATCCGAGCAGGCTGGCGCGACCAGACCAGCGCAGCCGGCTCTCTCTCGCGGCCGCACGCTGTAGCCGCGCGGAGCGCCTCGCGTCACGTGGCCCCCTTTCCGACCGGGGTGTGGGCGTGTCCTACGGCAGAGGGTTTTCATTCATAAATCCTTTTGGCTTGCTAAATCAAAATTAAGGTGTTCGGCGAAGGTTGGCAGCCCATTGGTTTCTGTCTAAATACCCCTGCATGGACCACATGAATTACAATTAGGTGAGTCTTCCCAGTCGGGGTTGCTGTTACTGGTTAATATATATTGTTTTTTTTATCCTGTATGTGTGCGCTCAACGGCAGAAATGCCTTTTTCAGCTCCGTTCGCTCGCTCTGACGGGCGGCTCTTAAAGACACTTTCCGCCGGAGCGGCTGAATGCGCAGCGTGTGTTTTGCGACGCATCTTGTAAGCCGGGCGGCTCGGCCATCTGCGACCCTCTCTCGGCTGTACAGACGGTGTGGCACGGCACGGCACGGCACGGCGCGCTGTAGCGACGATCGCGGGCGCCGTAGCGAGGGCGCCGGCCGCCGTGTAGGTTTATGTCACCGAATAAAAACAAAATGAAGCCAGGGCAGGGTACTGCCAACTTCTGTTAGTGACAGCATCTTCTGTGCTCACGATCAGACACCATGAGGTAGATCTTGAGAATCGGTCCTTCTTCAATCACGTGCGAGTGCCCTGACTTGTCTATTTTCGTTGTGATTGAATCCACCCTATGGCGCAGATGCTATTCTGTACGAGCGCAGTGAAGTTTGGGTTTATTTCTAGAATCCGACGGTACAGCGGAAGGGATACCAGAGTGCTCGTGTCCCGTTTGTTTACTTATTTATATATTTTTTTCTTGCTGTTATCCCTTTTCGCTGTAACGGCTGAGGAAATGTCATCGATGTTGGTTTTAAACGCGAGGTTTGATTAGCACTGACGGAGGGAAAGGGCTCCATTCGTTCCTTGGAAGGACGAGGCAAACCGCTGTCCTAATGACTCCCCAGGCGCAATGTTTTTCGTGCTATTTTGCGCTCAGGTTCCCCTTGGGCTGGTGGTGACGACTCGCGCCACATTTCCGTGCAAAACCGATTCTGTTGGCTGGGGGTGATGCAAATCGCCAAGTAGATCTACCTGAAGGAAAAAAAAAACACACACTCAAATGATTTGGCTAGGGTCTTAAATCTGCGTAAAGGGCGCATTATCCGGTTTGCGCTTCGCTTGTGAGGAAGAGAATGTGTGCGCGCTTAACACATTCCTTCGAAAATGAATGCTTTGCTTTTTAGGGGTTCCGTAGAGGTCTGCTTAAGGACACTCTGAACAACTTGCGGGAAACGCGGCTGCCTGGTTATTACATAACAAAATCGTACATTCACGCAATTCTCTGTTTCCGCTCGGATGCAGCGTGCGCCGAGCTAATCCGAGGTGGCCGGCTCTCGGGCGGCAGCGGGCAGATGTGAGCGCCGAAGATCGGTCGGGCGCTTTCTCCGGAGACAGCGGCCGGAGCGTTTGTCGGGTTTGTCCGGGCTTCTTGCAGGTAGCAGCCGCAGTTTATGAGGGTCTTTTGCCCATAGGATAAAAACAGGCGTACCGCGCGGTGCAGTAACTTGGGACCTCAGGTCCGGTCACCGGCCGTAACGCTCCCGAATGGAAATCTCCTCATTTGTCTTGATCGGCGAGGCTGCTACGGATGGAAGTGCATTACTCTGGTGAAACACACCGGGAAAGCTAAACAGAACAGGGCTGTTATTGACACCGGTTTACAAAAATGGTGATCGTTGTGTGATCGTCTCGTGCTTAAAGATCGCGGTTTCCCGACCCGTCCGATTCGGTCCATCACATGAGCAGCAAAGGAAATATATATATATTCTATGCGTGTCTGATTTGTCAAGCCTGCCTGTGCATTAGCGATCTTGCAAGACTCCGCTGTTTGCCGTATTGAACCTGATGATTTAAAAGGCGATATTTATAAACTCGTTCCCGTCCTCTAACAGCGTAACCGAGCTCATTTGTATGAATTGTGAGACTGATTTTGACAGAAACGCGAGCTTGGCACGAACCGGTATCGGTGTGCGGATAGCGAGGAACTTCTCTGAGCTTGAGTGCTTAAATCGCAGGAGGAGAAGTAGGAGTCAGCGGAAATGATAGCCCGCAAAGCGACGTTATTTTGTTTTAACGTGGAACTGTGCTCTTCAGAGCACGGTTGGTCTTTTAAATGTGGGCTCCGGTGTCGTTCTCAAACCGTGACAACAATCTGTAGTTTCCAATCACTTCTCTGCGCCTCGCTAACTGACCGGCCTTTCCGGCGAGGGCCGGTATAAAAGTTTTAAGCTCTCCCAGGATCTATCGTAACTACTGGCAGTCAGATATAAACCACTGTACGGTATGTAGTGTGTGGTCCAGGAAGGATTTGCACCGTAGACCAAAATGAGTCTGGCGGCCATAGTAGAGTACAGACGTGTACCAGGGAAAAATCGCACCTCAATGAAGAGTCTGAGAGAAAAAAAAACTACCTTTCTGCTTGTATTTGCAATTCTATCATTTTTATCCCTTAGTTATGGGAGTATATCTATCCTGTGTTAATTCTCGCAATTATTAGAAGCCATTGTCTAGTTTACCACCTTCGCTTTGTGATTGATTCCATTATATGGCAAAGCAACCGAGCACGTTTTCTAGCAAATCAACAGCCAGATATTTGGAGAGGAGAGCTGCGCAGACGTCAGCCCAGCCAACGCAGGAAAGCGGCTCTCGCCGGCTAACCTTGACGTTCCAGCCACATGACGCGCTCCAAGAACGCCGCCCTGCGCATTCGAAAGCGCACCTGCGCAGGTCATGGACTCTGGAAGGCTGAGGGAACTTGATAATCGATGTGTTGTTTTTTTTCGGGTGGGGAGTTTGAATTGGAGTTACGCCGGGCTGGCGCACACGGTTAGGAGGAAAATGTCAATTTCAAAGATGGACGCAGATTTCACCGGTGCTCCGAAGCTGGTGAGGTCGGGGACTGGGGATAAAGGAGAACCACTAGGCTGCTCCACAGTGAGTCTGCTGAAAGTCAGGCTCCAGTATGGATTGAAACAGCAGTGAGTTTCCAAAAGACAGGAACAGGCCAGTACAGCAATAATGGGGAAAAAGACTGTCAACATCATCTTTTCTTCTGATTTTAACTGTTCATTTACAAAAGTCTCTTAGTTCACTATAGTCTGTACTGCAGAACAGCTGCACAGTATTTCAGATTCGCTTTGACATTTTCAGCTTTTTCACAAATAACTTGCAAAGCTTAAAATACGTCGCCGGGGACTGACACCTTTACGCCAGATTGGGTCTCTGTGTGTACTCCTCATTGATATTTCAAGCTTGTCCAGCAGTCGGTTGTGCTGCGTGTTTCACTATTCTGCTGTACTGTAGGCTGCTTCTAACTCTATTAGAGATGACTTTTATTGAGTATTTCTAAGATGGTGTTCACCACGAACAGTAACAGATTCTAAAGTATTTACAGATATACAGTGTCACGGGTTGTGGAGAGGTAAAATCTCCTGTTTTTGCTTTCACACCGGAGACAAAAGGTTTAGGTTGCAGGTAGAGCCTTGATCTCTGAGATCCAGACTTTCTGCAGTTCTGAGTCCTGGGTCCTGACCCAACTGACTCCGCACAGTGGCCTCTCTGCTCCCTGTGACCTCTCAGGTGGTGCCTGCAGTCTCATGGTGGTGACAGAGAGGGACACACCCCTCTTCCACTCAGTTGTGAGCCATCCGAATGCTGCTGTTCCAGGGATCAGCAGCAAGCTGAGAGACAGAAGACATAACTGGCAACTGGACATTGGTTGCATACATACTGTATACATAACACGTTCAGGTGAGGAGCTGTGCCAGCCTGCGTAGGCTGCAGAGGAACAGGTAAAGGCTCATTCCATGCTGAAAGGTAAAAAAAAGACCCTTGTCTTTCAGCATGGACATTTCTAAATTTAAATTAAATGTAAAAAAGCGTCTAGCTTGAATAGTGTATTCAGTGGGAATAAAAAGATAATATCATGAGCCATAATAACCCCGTACCCATTTCCTTTGATCGTGGTACCTTTTTTAAGGTTTAAGTGTTTTTCAGTGACAGGCAGGCGTTCGGGAACATTTTACAGTACAAAGGAACTGATTTCATTCCATCTCTAATCACACACTTGTGCCAAAAAAAAAAATCGAATTCAAAAGCCTCTGTCCTGCTTGCCATGAAAGCTGTCTTTTTTTGGATATGTATATCTAGATCTAAACTTCTCCCTTGAGGCATCTCTGTACTCTGCTATCAATAAACAGGCCCAGATCGCCGGTCCCGAGAGTCTTGTTGGTTCTGCCTATTGTCTGATCCTCCACGAGCATCTCAAGCAGATGTGTCCTCCTATTTCTGTCGAGCGCTTTGAAGAGTCCTGTTTACAAAGGGGGCTTTAGAAATTTCCGCCTGCGTTGCGCTGAGCTGTAGACAAATATGGACAAGAGAGGCCGCCAGACAGGAACTGACAGCGTACAGGGAATGGGGTGGCTGATAGGTGGCACTACAGTAAGTTCCAAACAATAGTATCCATAGGGAATCAAGCACCGGAATTATCTTGGGCTGCACAGCTGTAGATCTCTCTCTAGGCTGATATTCTGTCTGAGCTTGAACTTTCTAATATATAGTATATCGGCCAATAATTGCCCTTATTTAACAAGCGTCAGTGCCGAATTTCCCATTAGGCACTGCAGGCACAGTACCTAGGGCCTACGAAGGAGGGAAACACTGGTGACTAACGAAAAACAAGCTCAAACAACACGCTAGCGATCGACTCTCGGTGCTCCAAATCAACAATCACACGCTCTCTAGCAGCTGTTCTAGAAACTAGAAGTGTGGAAGCGATGGTCTCTCGACTCGCTCCAGCAATCACCTGGTTTAATAATAATAATAATTAATAATTGCCTACACTCATATAGAGCTGGTTTAGCAGAACACTTTTAAAGTGCATCTTGTCAATCGACGTCATTCAACTGGCGTTGACCCCTCTTCTGGCACAACTCAGAGTGAAAGTGCCCGGGGCCTACAAGCACCAAAATCTGGCCCTAACAAGTGTATAGTAAATAAATATGTGGGTTGGTACTTTCATCAGCAGAGAAGATGTGCATTTCAAATCTATTTCAGCTGTTAGTTGCTTGTGTGGTTTAGTGACAATTTTGGAATTGGCTTTTTTACATCCCCCCATTTTTTGAAGGACTAATACTGCCCTTACCTCTGTGTTCCATGTATCGTCTGGGCGCTGGGTCATAGATAGCTCAGTTGCCCCTGGCGCCTCACAGGTGAGTTAGCCAGGACAGGGTACAGCACTGCCAACAAGCACACACGAGGCAAAGCAATGGCACAATTGGGTGACTGAACTTTAATGATGTTTTGCTGATGTTCAAATGTACAGAAATTGAAATAACTGTCAACAAATATTTTAAGATGTTTTTCCTGTTTGTGAAACTACCATGTCCAACCTTAATAATAATGACATCATAACTCATAACATCATAATCTTCGGATTTATTGCATGTTAATGCAATTTAAGCTTGCCAATACAAGGAACAGAAAAATCATATTGTGGAGGTTACATTGTCTTTTTGTCCTTTTTGGGCATAGGCGGAGCAGGGGGCAGTGACGTACTAAGAGAAAGCCAAGAGCTCATAGCAGTTCAGGGAGAGCAGTAACATAAATTCACAAAGCTCGTCTGTCACTTAGAGACGCAGCAGTAAGCAGTAACAAGCAAGTTTAATGCATTTTCTTGTTTGCTTTCCATCAGAACTAAAACGGTGCCCTCAGTTACACTCCATCTACTGTATGTGTTTTAGAATTCTTAAAGTTTATGCGTGTTTATGCCTTACAAGTCTGTTTTGCTCAAAACCCAACAGCCGAAGCGAATATCAGTTTCCCGCTCTGTAATTCTGCGGCAGTACCCTCCCTTCAGTGTCATTTCACACACGCAGAAAAGTTCGGACTTGCACCAGCCTTTAGACCGCAGGTTGTCTTAATGTGGTACTAATTGACAGTTACAGCGATTAGCAGAGTGAGGAACAGGTCAGCAAAGCCTCGGTAGGTATTGAGCTGGTGGACAGAGATTGCAAGCCGCCCTCTGATCCCAGTCCACTCGTTTCCCAGTGCTCCGCCAGTGCAGTAAGAGCAAGCAGCGTGCCGTCAGGCCTCTTGGACAGTTTGAGGGCCGGCGTGTTCCCCCCTTTGCCTGTCTCCTCCTCTGTCACTCTCTTTGACCGAGCGGCATGCCTGCGCAGTCCCAGAACACAGCCAGGCACTCAATGTACACCCTCCCCGAGTATAAAATGAAAGGAAATAAGTAAATGGGGAGGGGTGAGGAGGGGGTGGGATAATAATGACAACAATAATTCCTCACACTTATACAGCTGTTCTGGACACTCCACTCAGAAGGCTTTACAGGTCATGGGGATCCCCTCCACCAGCACCAGTGTGCAGCCCCACCTGGATGATGCACCAGTCCGCTCCCCACACACCAGCTCTCAGTGGGGAGGAGAGCAGAGGGATGAAGCCAGTTCAGAGATGGGGATTATTAGGAGGCCATGATGGGTAAAGGCCAGGGGGAAATTTGGCCTGGATGCCGGGGTAACACCCCTACTCTTTTTGAGAAACATCCTGGGATTGTTAATGACCACAGAGAGTCAGGACCTCGGTTTTACTTCTCATCTGAAAGACGGCGCCTGTTTACAGTATAGTGTCCCCTGTCACTATACTGGGGCATTAGGACCCACACAGACTGCAGGGTGAGCGCCCCCTGCTGGTCCCACTAACACCTCAGCTTTCCCAGGAGTCTCCCCTCCAGGTACTGGCCAGGCTCACATCTGCTGGGCTCCAGTGGGGCTGCCAGCTGGGAGCTGCAGGGTGATATGTCTGCTGGCAGGAAGATGCCTACAGAAGTGAGGGGAAGGTTTCTCAGTGGTCTCTGTTATAGTAGCGCATAGTCAAGGACTCTTGATGCTCAAGTCACACTTGTCCCTGGGGCTGCAGAAAACCTCAGGTATCAGGTTGCACTCCCCCTGCCCAGATGAGCCAGTTTCCTCTCCTGACCTGCAGTAGCAGCTCCTGGAAGTTAGGGGCGGGGGTGGTGTTTTGGAGAGGAGATTGGTTTTCAGGTGAGAGTGCATTAACACCGCCCAGTACTATCCTTGCATTCTTTATGCTTTGAACATGCACGTCTTCCTCACTGCCTCAGGGTGTCAGGAAACTCACCTTTGACCAAATCAGTCAAATAAAAAAAAAGGACTTTGTAAAAAGAATCATGTGTTGAATGGTTTTCAGCTGCATGGAAGTGGTTAATGTGCTTAAAAGCACTTTTCTATTAATGGCGTAGTTTGCTCTGTACGGCTTCTCTCCTCCAGTGTGCTAAAAACTCACGTCATTGTCGAGCTCAGAGAACGACTAACCCCCCCCCGCTGATCATGACCTGTGACTCCCAACTGTTTCACCCGAGAGACTCTCCAGATCGCAGAAGGAAACCAGCTGTCAGTTCACGGTTTCATCAGTGCAGTCTTCCTGCTGGAGACTAGATTAGTTTTTGCTCAGCTGTGTCAGAGTTCAGTACCAGTGAAATAATAATAAAAAAAAAGCGAGCTTCTAGAGAGAATTCTAGAGAAATGACTTTGAAGGAGGTAATGGGCTTTGCTGCCTGGCAATACACGCAGCTCTCTGCAGAGCCCAGGCAGTGCTTAGCTGTAGCAGGCTACATTACAGCAGTCAGGGAGCAGGCGGAGAGCTACAGGGAATCGAGACAGCGAGCTGTGTTTTTGCAGACCGTAGCCTTTCGTTTGGGTAAGCCCAGCACGGGAGAAGAGCATCCTAGAGGCGTTGTTGCAAACAGAAAAAGGAAAAGGGGGCCCAGGGCTGTTGGTGTGGTTTCCACGCGGCGGGTGCAGATGCCAGCTGGTTGTCTCAGGCAGAAGAAAAAAATGAACACATTAGGTGTGGGAAGAGGCTGCAGCATCATCCTCCTTACAGCTGGTGTACCTGGACCAGAGCCGCCGGATCGGCAGTAATGGGATGGCAGCAGGAGCCCTGAATGGGCTGGTCCACTCTGGGTCAGGTCAGGGCAGGACAGAAGAGGGGAGCAGCGTTCCCCCCCCCATCACCATTGCTTCTCCCTGTACTGGCACACTTTAATTCAGGTGTCAGACTGTGGGGGGGGGTGGGGGGTGGGGGGGGTTGGTTTTCAGCGGTAGCCTTCAAAATACTGCTGTCGGATCCTGCATGACTGCAAGTATTGCTCCTCCCCTGTTGTCTAATTTTATTTTTGTGCATTTAGGCCTTATCTCCTGTGTGGTTACATGTTGTGTTAATTCTGTTCACTGTCCTACCCGAGTTCCTGTACTGTGGGAGCTGCACCGTTTTCACGTTCGCAAAAGAAAGAGGACTCCCATAGCATAACAGATTAAATCCATGTTTTTATGTTTTAATGGATCTGCATGCTCTTCTATAAATGTAAACAGCATATATTTATATTTATATCTTACAAGGAACATCTACCGGAAGCATCGTGGATAAGGGCAAGCAGTCGCTTTGAATTATGGGTATATATATTAATAGATTTGAGCTCTTATGGTTAATAGTTGTGCCGAACTGATGAGCCCTAATAAGGACAAAACGGCTGCGTGTGGCTGCTAGTTCTGACTTCTATTTGCAAAATAAGGAATAAGATCAATTCAGTCACCCAGGGTGTTGTGATAAAAGAGCAAAGATCTAATTAATATTCACAGACATTATATGTATGATATGAACACATAGCATGGTTGCATTTTTAATTTCTCTCAGTTTGCGTAGGCTAGCACCTGCCGCTGGTTATTTCTTGCTCACTGCATTAATTTGTGTTTATTCACAGTGACGTGTGGGGTTAACATTAAGTGCTAAAATCAGTATTGTTAGTCTGATATTGTTTAAGCTCCTGCCCGTAATAACATCTGAAATGGGTCGAGGTGTTAAGCCAGGGGACTCCTTTCCTGTGACTGGCGAGGGGTCCCGCAGGCGAGGGTCTGCGCTGGCCTGACCTCCACCTTCTCCGCTTTCCCCAGGAGGACTTCCCCACTGGCCTGGACCATGAGCAATGATGTACCCGTCTGGAAATACCTAACGGAGAACACTACGGTGAGTACACCGCCCTCCCATCTGTTCTTCCATCTGGGACAAGCCTCAGCCGCGCCCTTTCCCCAGAGCCCGTTCCTGAGGGTCCGCTGATGGGTGGGGGGGCTGTGCTCCAGTGTCTGGGGCGAGAGAGGGGCTCGGCTGGCCCTTCCTTGTGCCGCCTACTGGGTTAGGGGATGAAAAGCCCTGTGGCAGGTGGTCTCAACTGACCAGCTGACATTGGTGTTGCGCACAGGTGGGGGCAGGAGTTTCAGAGTTGGGCGGGGGGGGGGGATTCAACTCATCCTTCTGTTCCAGCTGGCCCAGGGTGGCCTGGGCCGGGCCCCCTGCCTGCCTGCCTGCTGCTGGCCCGGCTCAAACTCACTACAGCGCCCCGGCTTTGCGCACTCAATGCAATGCAATGCGGTTTTTATATAGCGCCTTTCACCACACGGTCGCCCCAAGGCACTCAAGCATAGCTGTGTGACAGTGCGCGACGGGTATTGTCAGCTCACTCGGGAGCACCTTGGCGTTCCCAGCTCAGAGGAAGGGAAGGCTGCAGAGGCGAGCTCACAGGAGGCCCTGGCCAGGCGCAGGCTGTAGTCTGGCTGAGCACTTGTCCAGACCGCAGGCCTGCATTTGCTCCCCATTAACACTCACCCCCCCCCCGGAGCCAGGGGGCTGGCAGGAGGCTAATCCTCGCCTGTCGAGCCTGCTGAGGGGCTGACAGCTGGAGCACGAGCTCTGAGACCCCCAGAGGACTGGCTAATAACAGGCAGCCTGCGTGGCATCTCTGCCATGTGTGCAACAGCAGTACAGCTGCAACACAGGCTCTTCGCAAAGTCCCCCCGCATCTCCAGCAGCACTTCTAGGGCGTGTGTGTGAGTTCCGATTGACGGGGCTGTCGGGGCTGTGCTTCTGACATTGGCAATGAGCATTTCTGTCAAGGTTTTAGCAGGTTTCTATGACCTTCTGACCCTGGTCATAAATGAGTAATGTACAAAATGCCTCACGCTGTAAGTATACCTTGTAAGGTACATAAGTATTAATTAATCAAACTGTTTTTCTTTAATAGAGACAAGTTTATAATCGGTAGCCAAGTTTAAGTGTCAATAATTCCCCTAGATAGTCGGCTATTATTATTATTATTATTATTATTATTATTATTACAACAATGTTATAGTTAAATTAGGACTCTTGTTCTGCTTTTCACTCAAGATGCCATCAATTGCTTTCAGCACAGTGGTAATGATGGCCTTGCTGAAGCCACAGAAAAGAATAGAATGACATCTCTTTGTACCCCGTATGCAACACAGCGGCCAATGATATGCTGCAGTAAGAAAATATGTAGTTCTCTGAAAGCTATGCATCAAGACAGCAGCCCTTCACTGACAAGTACTTAGTTAGACAGAACTGAGCATTAAGGCTGACTGTTGTAATTAGGCAGCAGGGCTAGACTGCTGCCGATCTCTCCCTGAAATGCAAACCATCAAATTATCCCTAATGTTCAGAACGAGCCCTTAGTGAAGCCTACCAAGGACCCACCCATTCTCTGCTTTTCTCTGTCTTGAAGCTTCCAGTGTGACAGTGCGTTTATTACTGGATAGCGTGCAAACACTACAGAGGTGCTCTCTATCTGTGGTCAGCGATGTGTACGCGTGCTTCCCATGTCTCATTTGGTGTCTCAGCAGTAGGATGTACTGTGCCCCCACTCCCATCTGTCGTTAGATGCCATGGACTGATCACATGGACACTGTGTTTGGAAGGGGGGGTGGGGGCTGCAGAAAGGGATATTGGGGGATGGGGCTAAGGGGGGATTGAAGCATTGCTGAAAGTGCTCCCCCACCTCCCTTCCTCCCCCTCTCGAACCCTGTCACCCTCTCACCTGCAAAATCCCCTTCTCAGGCACGGAAAGAAGCAGGCAGTAATTAAGTAGATCAGCAAGCTGGAAGTAGCCTCAGCCTTTTGATGTTTCAAAGAAAGGCCCGTCTGCCTCTCTCATCCCCCCCGTCTCTCTGTGCCTCTGTTCCTGTGAGCCCATACAAGCTCACTTACCTCCTCTGTGCTGAGCAACACAATATGCACACCTGCCTTCCTCGCCGCTCTGAATAAGCAGCCTGCCAGCTAAGTTTACTCAGTTGTCAAAAAGCTTGTAAATATTTTATTTCAGGTGGTGTTTAATTTCACTTTGAGGGATGTGTGATATTTGTGAATCTATTTGCTCCCTGGATGGAAAGGAAATCTTGATTTTTTTCAGAAATCCCACATCCGTGTCTTGACCTTGAGATGTTGCAGAGACATGTTTTGGGGGATTTTGAAGTGTGTATCAGGTTGCTAGACTAGGGGCTGTACAGTCAACGTTTTATCCTCTGACAGGCGTGGCCAAATGACACTCCTAGTCTGCAGAGCTTCTTACTAGGAAACAGCCAAGTGTACTTTTCAAAGTACAGTTGGCTGAGCTCCACCAGGGTACAGTGGTAGATAGCGTGGGTTATCTCAGCTTTTACTGAAACAGTGATTCCTGCCATCACTCAGAGCCCAAAAGCTCTGCCAGCTGGGACTGCTGGGGAATGAGTAGCAGGACAAACTGTGATTGGCTCCAACAGGGGGGGTGTGTCAGAGGAGGGTGTAGCAGGTCAAACTGTGATTGGCTCCAACAGGAGGGGCGTGTCAGAGGAGCATGTCTGCAGGTCCTCAGTCTCCCTGTGCCCTACAGGAGGTGCTGCTGGAAAGCCAAATTCTAAACAACTGGCAATATCCATTTTCTTAAAAAAAGTGAAAAAAGTAAAAAAAAAACCTCAATGGATGAAGAGGAGTACAGCTCCTAAGAGGTGCCAAGATCTATATAGAATAAGTCCATAAAACACAGTTAATAATAATAATGACTGAGGTTCTGACTTGCCCATTGCAAGCAGGTGTGTCAGACCCAGTGTCCTAGCTAAATTCCCCTCTGGGCTTGAAAGATCTGCCCACGCAATCCCTTAATTGAACAGGTGAATTCAATCACTCAGATGGGGGCTGCACTTCAGTGTTGGATAAAGTGGGTCTCCTTCCTCATCAGAGGTGCCTTGAGAATTCCTTCGGGATCAGTATTTACTGTAGATGCAAGGAAACATGATTATAGAAAGTGCTCTTCTGCAGCATTCTGCTGTTGAGATGAGAGAAACCATCGGATATACTGTTCAGCGTCTGCAGGTGTGACAGAAGATAATTGATTTACCTGTCAGATGTTTTTTCACAAGCTGGAGGCCTGCGAAAGCGCTGGCTAAAGCACACAGACGGAAGTCTCCCAGCGACACCCGTATTGAAATGCCAGCCCTCACTTCTCCTCCATTCTAATTTTAGACGTCTGCGCCCTCATTTTCCACTCAGATGGCTTCATAAATTGAATTTAGTCTCTCTTTTTCTTTCCGATAGTTTATAACCCCAGACAGACTGGCACAGTGTATTAGAGAAGGCCATTGCCTAATGATCTGAGGGAGAGTCTGCAGTGAAGCAGTGACTCCAGTAGTAGAAACTGCAGTTCTCCTCCGTGTGGCTTGTGGAGAGGGGGGGGAGTGGGGTTCAGAGGCAGGCCACCAGGTATGCGTTTGTGACGGAGGTAACCTCTTGTGTGACTTTAGGTATGGCTGGGGTGATTTGCCAGGTCCTCCAGCCAGATCTCCTCAATGAAAGAAGTTACTAAAGCACATTTCAGTTCAAATTTACTTCCTTACACCCAGCCCCAGATCTAACTGTGGGCCTTAATTTAATTCCGTTTCAGGGTCAATCTAATCATCAAGCGAAAGACTATTTAGAGGGAATATTTAGAAAGACTTGCATTTATACCAGTAATGTTGAAAGTGAATTTGAAGGTATTACAGGGTTAGTCAAAATGCTGTCGACAGCTTTGACAGTTTAGTACAAATTAATAACATGGGGCACTGTGACAAGAAAGGTTTCAAACGAAAGGATAAATATCAAAGTTTCTTACAGTTACCTTACAATCCTTCACCATCTGTGGAGGAGAAAACAAAACTAAAGTAAAATAATTGGCATTTAAACTTGTCGACAGCATTTTGATGAACCCTGTATTGCAGCTTTCTAAATCACACAATGCTTCACCCACTATGCGTCGTACTGGGCCCATACATAAATTTAGGGGACCCTTTTCTGGGGTTGGGGGGGGGGGGCTGGTCTAGTCAGGTGCACCCCCAGGGCTTTACTGACAATAACAGCAGGAGTGGGGAGCAAGGAGTCAATACTGACCTCCGGGGGTCATTTCTGAAACCTGTTCTTATATACGACTGGGTTAATTCTGTCTTAGGCAGGATGAGGCCCCCACTGTGTATATAAGGAGTGTTTGAAAGATTACGAACAAGAAGGGGCCATCTCTCGTGTCCCAGGTGTTCATTGCTAATTTTACTCATCTGATTGTCTCATTTGTTGGCCTCAGGGAGGGGCTTATTCTTCCGATCTGCAGGTGTGTCCAAATGGTTCTGAGTTCTGCCCGGTGGTTCAAGTCTCTGCATGAGCCCAGCTGTCCCAGTTTGATTGGAAAAGAAAACTTGATACGAAATCTCAGAAGCACGTACCTCTCTGTCCGCTATTCCCTCACAGGACGTCCCGAAAGACACTGGGAAGCAGGACGGCTATGTCCTCCTGCTGGTCCTCCTGTCCATCTTCATCGGGGGGACGCTGGTCCTGCTCTCCGGCCTGCTGGTCATCTGTCGGCGGTGCTGTGAGGGAGACCGCCGCTACTCCAGGTGCGAT